CAGCCCCACCCCCAGCCAGCCGCGCCTGGAGCCCCTAGACCTGGCTCCGGGACTCTGGCTTCCCGCGGCGCGACCCTAGGCCACGTCCCCGATTTGGGGGGCAGGTTGGGGGGATGGTGGCAGCGGCCCACGTGAGCAGTGGCGGGAGCCGTGGGTGCTCACCTTCCCGTCTTCTCCTGGGAAGGCACCCCAGAAAGTTGCCATTTAAGAAGGGGAGGTTGGAAGTCATGCTTCACCTCCTGCCGTGTGTTGCCACGAAGGTGTGAGGATCCCTTGCCTCTTACGTGCTATCAGACGTCCTCCTTAGTGAGTCTTGGCCTGGACGACCTCGGTACCATTGGTGCAAAACCAGACAACGCATCTCCTAGGTTCCTAGTTTGCCTTAAGTTTCTCACCCATCGGGTCCCTTCTCACCTTTTGCACCCCACCCAGCTCATCGTGGCATATGTTGTTTTAATTCCTAGAGCTCTGGACAGGCTGTTTTTCATGTTGGTGGATCCTTTAAACACCTTCTCTTGGCTTGTTTTTCTCTAGCCACACCCTTCTTCCAGAATCCTTCGATAAATGCCTTGGAAAATTTTATATATATATTTGGGTTGGAGTCTCACTCTATCACCCAGGCTGGTGTGCAATGGCACACTCACAGCCACCGCAGCCTCAACCTGCTGGGTTCAGGTGATCCTTCCGCCTCAGCCTTCCAAATAGCTGGAACTACAGGCATGCGCCACCATGCCCAACTAATTTTTGATTTATTGTAGAGATGAGGTCTCACTCACCAAGTTGCACAGGTGGGTCTGGAAACCCGTGAGCTCAGGCAGTCCTCTCACCTCGGCCTCCCAAAGTGCTGGGATTATAGGTGTCAGCCACTGTGTCCGGCCTGGAAAATAATTTAAATATTGTTGTTCTACCATGGTGACCCTTATTTCTCAGGGAGCACTAAGATGGCTTTCTAGGATCGGTCTAATCAGATAAATACTTCTTTTCTTTCTTAGGTTTTGAAACATGAATCCTTCCCTCATCCTGGCTGCCTTTTGCTTGGGAATGGCTTCAGCTGCTCCCACACTTGATGACAGCGTAGATTCACAATGGAACCAGTGGAAGGCGAAACACAGGAAATTATATGGAATGGTTGGTGAATCTGAAACCATCCAGAGTCTCCCCAGAGAACATGGCCCTTGCTTTTGGGGGATTATAGCCAGAGAGTAGTTCTAGAATACAGCTCTTACTAATAAAGTAAGGCAATAACCGCATGGCACCAATCATGAGCTCAATAGGGGCAAACATCCCTGTGGTGTCTCAGCTTGGAAAACAGCTTCCCGAAGTATCAACCTTCACTTCCGTGGTTTTTCTTTCATCTCTGTCGGCAGATCTACCTGATGAGTGAGGGTTGGGTTATCAGTTGAAATAAAGACCATCAATGACATGTTTGCCTCTAGAATGAAGAAGGATGGCGGAGAGCAGTGTGGGAGAAGAATGTGAAACGGATCGAACAGCACAATCGGGAATACAGGGAAGGGAAGCATGGCTTCACGATGGCCATGAACGCCTTTGGGGACATGGTGAGTGTGGTGTGGACGGCTGAACTCTGTGCTTCCTTTCCTCAGCTCATTACCAAAATAATCTCCTGCTTTCCAATGTTGTATTTACTTTTCCTTGAAGACCAATGAAGAATACAAGCAGAAGATGAATAGCTATCTACACCAGAAGCACAGGAAGGGGAAAGCGTTCCTGGAGCCTTTGTTTCTTGAGGTACCCAGATCTGTGGATTGGAGAGAGAAAGGCTACGTGACTCCTGTGAAGTATCAGGTAAGGCAGTGTCAGATTCAGATCTCCCATCTAACTCTACAGGAAGCCAAGAAGCAATCTGTGCTTTGGGTGCTCTGGTAGACTGACATGCGGTTCACTGTTCTCTGAAAAGCATTCAGATATATGAGCTATTGTCAAAGTCTTGCTATCTATTTTGTAGACAAAAGCTTTTTGATTCTCTTTTCAGGGTGAATGTGGTTCGTGTTGGGCTTTTAGTGCAACTGGTGCTCTGGAAGGACAGATGTTCCGGAAAACTGGTAAACTTATCTCACTGAGTGAGCAGAACCTAGTGGACTGTTCTCAGGCTCAAGGCAATGAGGGCTGCAATGGTGGCCTGATGGATAATGCCTTCCAGTATATAAAAGAGAACGGAGGCCTGGACTCTGAGGCATCCTATCCATACACAGGAAAGGTAAGTGGAGCTCCTTATGTTGTCATTCTAGCTCTGCTTTTGGAATCATTTTGGATCATTTTCAGAGATAACACACCTTTTCAGAATTCACATCCAACTATTTGGCAGGCTGAGGAGAGAAAAGCAGCATTTTTTTTTTTTTTTTTTTGAGTTGGAGTCTTACTCTGTCACCCAGGCAGGAATGCAGTGGCATGCTGCTTATGGCTACCACAGCCTTGACCTGCTGGCCTCAGGTGGTCCTTCCGCCTCAGCCTTCCAGGTGGCTGGAACCACAGTCATGCACCATTACACCCAGCTCATCTTTTTTGATTTACTGTAGAGACGAGGTCTTGCCAAGTTCCCCAGGCTGGTCTCAAACCCGTGGGCTCAGGCAGTCCACTCGCCTCGGCCTCCCAAAGTGCTGAGATCACAGGCTGAGCCACCGTAATTCCAGTTTCAAATCAACTAATAGCATTCATTTCCTGGGATGATTTATAACAGTGCTGACTTGAAAATTCTAGGCTGCCAACTGTTGAGTGTTGTGGCTCTCACTCATGTTGCCCGGGAGAAAGATGGTAGTAATCAAGTCTGTTTTCCCTTTCCCTTCAAAAGGATGAACCCTGTAAGTACAAGCCTGAGTATTCTGTTGCTAATGACACTGGCTTCGTGGATATCCCTGTTGGAGAGAAGGCCCTGATGAGGGCAGTGGCGTTTTGGGGGCCCATCTCTGTTGCTATCGATGCAGGCCATGAGTCCTTCCAGTTCTATAAAGGAGGTAAGCATTTTTCATTGTAGAAATTGATGCAGAAAATGAGTAAACTACCAGGGCATGCCAGCATGATGGACTTTTGGAATGTAGCATTCAGTGTAGACATTTGGATACATGGATTTCACATAGCTGTTCCTCCTGCACATGCAATATTCGACCTTGATATTTCCATGTGACATGATGTTGAGCACATTCCTGTGAATATAGTACCTTATAACTTTTTATAAATAAACATTTCATATATTGCATCGCATAATTTACTTGAATATTCTCTAATTGCTGGCTCTTTATAATTTCTTAAAAAATCCTTCTGTAATTAATTCTGAAAGGAGAGCCTTGATTCAAAGATTTTGGTGTTCTATGGTATTTTTTTAAGCTGACATCCTGGAGTAGAATTCGAAGCTTATGAAGACTAGGCTTTTCTGCCTGTAGGCTAGTTTTGTGGGGTTTTTTAAATGAAAGATTTATGCTCATTTGTATTTCTGCTAGTTTTAAATGAAACCCTAAATCCCTGGGCTTGATAACAATAGACTTTATTGTTAAGTCCTATCTGGAATGTGTGTCATTTCCTGAATGACGAGATGCCTCCCTTACTGTGGGTGACAGGGCGGGTTACTGTCAGGTGTCCCCAGAGCTTCTCACCCCAGCATGACTTTTACTCTCCCAGGTATTTATTTTGAGCCAGACTGCAGCAGTGAAAGTTTGGATCACGGTGTTCTGGTAGTTGGCTACGACTATGAAGGAACAGATTCAGATAACAGTAAATACTGGATTGTGAAGAACAGGTATAAATTGCTTAAAATGCTTACATTTGAAATCCAAAAGGGAATTCTTGCCTGCAATTAGTATCTGGATACATTTTCACATACCCCCTTAAGTACACTTCTGAAATCCTAAAAGTCTTTATCCCCCAAGTAAAAACACAGGTTATTAATGTTTGATTATTACATTAAGATACTCTCACAAGAAGGCTGGAGGATAAATGTGGCATTTGTACCATTGCATTTCTAAATTCTGAAAATGTTCTTAATTCTAAATCATTTTTGACTGGAAAGATATCCTGTCCTTTTTTCTGTCTCTGAGTTTTCAATTCTATGAAAGGCCACAGTTTGGGGTCTGGGATGGAAGTTATGTACAGGTTTAGGCTCAAGAATGTATAGGCTGGACTCGGTGACTCATGCCTGTAATCCTAGCACTTTGGGAGGCAGAGGCAAGAGGATTGCTTTAGCCCCAGAGTTTGAGACCAGTCTGGGCAACTTGGCAAGACCTCATCTCTACAGTAAATCAAAACATTAGCCGGGCTTGGTGGTGTGTACCTGTGGTTCTAGCTACCTGGAAGGCTGAGATGGAAGGATCACATGAGCCCAGCACATTGAGGTTGCAGTATCTGTGAGCATTCCACTACACTCCAACCTGGGTGACAGAGTGAGACTCTGACTCAAAAAAAAAAATTAAAAATGATACAGGATGAACAAGATCAATTGCTTCTCCTGATCCTTTCTGTTAAGTCTGTAAACTTGAGTACACTGTGTAAGTTGGGTGTTCCTGTTAGTAACCCAATATGCTTTATTCTTTTTTTTTTTTTTTGAGTTGGAGTCTCACTCTGTTGCCCAGGCTAGGTGCAGTGGCACACTCTTAGCCACCATGGCCTTGACCTGTTGGGCTCAGACAATCCTTCTGGCTCAGCCTGCCAAGTAGCCAGAACTACAGGTGCACGCCACCGTGCCTGGTTAATTTTTCTTGATTTATTGTAGAGACAAGGTCTCGCCAAACTGCCCAGGGTGGGCTTGAACCCCTGGACTCAGGCAATCCTCTCACCTCTGCCTCCCAAAGTGCTGGAATTACAGGCATGAACCACTGTGCCCAGCTTGCTTTTTATTCCTAAGGGGAAAAATAATGGAAAACCTGCTCTCCTTTCAGCTGGGGTACAGGCTGGGGCATGGATGGCTACGTAAAGATGGCCAGAGACCGGAATAACAACTGTGGAATCGCCTCAGCAGCCAGCTACCCCGTTGTGTGAGCTGATGAACAGAGCTGAGGAAGGACTCGACTGGGGGATGGCGCATCCAGGGGAGGAATTTATCTGAAATCTCGCCGGTGTCTACTGTGTGGGATACACACTTGAATCATTGATGATCCAAGAGTGATTTAAATTCTGTGATATTTGTACACTGGTAAAATGTTACCTTTATTTTAATTACTCCTATAAACAGCTTTATATTGTTTCACTGAATGACTTTAGATTTTTATTTTAGAAGGTTATGTAAAGTTTTACCTGTTTAAATAAACTTAGTTTCCAATGTGCCGTTGACGCTTCTGTCTGTTTTTGATGCATGGGCGTGTTGCACATCAGGCGCGTAATTAGGCTGTCAGACATAACTGCTGTGCCCAGGGTTCACTAGGCGTAAGAGGGGATGGCCTCTGGCTCTTCTAGTCACAAATATGCGGATCTCGTGTCAGCTGCTCTGACTGTTCTTGACCCAATCCTTGGTCAGGTGGTCAGGGAGAGCTTCCAGGAATAAAGGAAAGCAGACATCAGCCAGTCAGTAAGGGAGGATGAAGAGGTGAGCTCTTAGCGGAGGAGGTGAGCACTTAGCAGAGAATGACCAGTGTGTCAACTCCCCTGAGACCTGACTCTGCGGTTAGAGCCCATGTAGAAGAGACTGGATCCAGATGCGGGGGAGGAAGCTGGCAGAGAGGTAGATTTTAGGATAAGGGAACCACTGGGGAGTGCAGTGTACAGACTCCAGTTATTTGTTACTGTAAAACAAACCACTGGAAACCAGCAGCATGGAAGAACCACCTTTCACATTTTCTGCTTGGATTCAGCTATGTGGTGTTCCCATGGAGATATCTGTGTTGGAGACACGTGTAGGCTTAACTGGACAGGACATCCCAAGGGCTCCCTCATGGTTGGCTGCAGATGGTGGTGTCAGCTGCATGTTGAGCTCAGGCTGTTGACCAGAGCCCCTGACCATCTATCTTCTCTATGGCTGGCGCTTCCTATAGTATCAACACTGGGAAAGGTATTTGTATATGTATTCCAGCTGGTAAGCTGCAAGCACTGCATCTCACAAATGTTCACCATCATCTCCAGTTGTAAATAAGTGAATAGGGACAAGTTTTACCAGGAGACTGTCTCTTTTCTCCAATACTACAGTTAAAACATTTCACAATTTAGGCAGATGGTTCAAGATGGCCGACTGGAAGCAACTAGTTTGTACCCCTCTCATGGAGAGGAACCAAAATGGGAGAATCCCAACCCTTCAAACAGATGATCAGAAGCACACCCCAGGACTCATTCGAGAAGCAATGGGACCCGCAAAAAGCAGAGAGGAGAGGAGTCAGAGCCTAGATTGGAGTCGGGCAGCCTGCTTGGCCAGGTCACCAGCACAAACTGCGAGCATCTCTCAGACTGTGGGGGAAAAGATGAGGGAGCGAACCCTGGAGCTCTGCTCCTGCCACCAACACTCACAGCCCCTCGAGACTTGTGGGAGTCCAGTCCCACACAAGGAACTGCCCAGTAATTGCCCAGGAGGGACTCTTCCCAGAACTGACACGGAGTCTTTAAGGAATCTGCGCTCTGAGAGTGACATTCTGGGAGCCCAGACCCAGCCCCTCACTCAGCCGACTTTTCCCCTCCACCTGCCTTGGTAGCCTAACAGGGGCAAGGAATTGTGGAAGTCCCACAATTGCCTGGGACATCCTAGTGCTTTCCTGGACAACATAGGCCAAGCATAAAGCCCAGGCCACCGTCACCGCAGGCTCTCTCCTGCAATGCCACCTCCTGATTGCAGGTCAACTGGCACAGGCCATTACAACATCTTCTGACATGATAACACGGTGCTTGGAAAGGTCTGTTCCTAGACCTCAGCGGACACCGTCGCCCACACCACCCCAGCTACTCAGGAGCCCTTGAGCCTGTGCATGTACCCAGCACAGCACTGATACAGCTGGCAATTGCAGAGCCACCACACTAAGGCTCTAAATGACCAAGGAAACCCTACAGGGTCTGTGCCACCCCCATCAGATCTGGTGCTTGTATCTGCCATGAGGTCAGCCCGGTCCAGGACTTCCCAGCATCATCCCCTGCTCAGGAGCTAAGAGCAAAGTCAAGGTCATTGCACATCTTGTAGATGAGTCCATAGTCCGAGGCATCAAAGAGCTTCTTCAGAGGGCCCTCTAGAGGTGCAGGTAAACCATTCTACTTAAAAGATAGAACCAGGCCGGGTGCGGTGGCTCACGCCTATAACCCCAGTACTTTGGGAGGCCGAGGTGAGAGGATTGCGTGAGCCCATGGATTCGAGACCAACCTGGGCAAGTGGCGAGATCGCATCTCTACAATAAATCCAAAAAAAAAAAAATTAGCTGGGCATAGTGGCTCATGCCTGTAGTTCCAGCTACTTGGAAGGCTGAGGTGGAAGGATCGCCTGAGCTCAGCAGGTCGTGGCTGCGGTGGCCGGGAGCTGTGCCACTGCGCTCCAGCCTGGGTGACAGAGTAAGACTCTGACTCAAAAATAAAAAATAAAAAAAAGAAGATAGAACCAAAACTACAGGTAGATAATCGAAGCCCAAATGGAGTGTTCATGGAAGAATCCTGGAACCTATCAGAGAGTTCACTGGAAGATTCTACAATACACGCAAAAAGAGAAAGAAACAACACCCTGGCAGAGATCAAACCCTGAGAGACTAAGTATTCCATAGAAAGGGTAGGTGAAACTGGGCGTGGTGGCTCACGCATATAATCCCAGCACTTTGGGAGGCCGAGGTGAAAGGATTGCGTGACCCTATGGGTTCAAGACCAGCCTGGACAACTTGGCAAGACCTCGTCTCTACAATAAATCAAGAAATGAGCCGGGCGTGGTAGTGTGCGTCTGCTGTTCCAGCTACTTGGAAGGCTGAGGTGGAAGGATCGCCGGAGCCCAAGTGACTGGGAGCATGCCACCGCACTCTAGCCTGGGTGAAAGAGTGAGACTCTGACTTATAAAAAAGAAAAGAAAGGGTAGGTGGAAATGCTTTCGGCTTCTCCAGCCCTTGCAGCAGACAACTGATACCCGGACTCAAGGAAAGATTCTCTGTCCTAGTGAGCCCAAGTGTTGAAGTGGGTTGTTATCTGGGGACTTTTTGAGAACATGACACTAAGTTACCAGATCACGTAGGGGAAGAGACCCCAGTTGGGGAAGAGACCCCGCGTGATCTGGTAACCTAGTGTCATGTTCTGGCAGAATACATACCAGTTGTGGGAATTTGTTCAGCTCAGGGACCTTCAGCCCTTGTGCAATGACATCACTGGATTTTTTGCAGACACTTCACAACACTAGCCTAGATTGTGGCAGCCCCAAAGGGTGACTAGACCCAGAAGAGCAGCAGGGCTCAAAGTAATCAGGCCCTTGTGCATCGTAACTCTCAGGGGAAGAGGGAGCACATCACATCAAGGGAGCACCTCGAGGAACAGAAAGAAAGGGGGAAAAAAAACCCAGAATGCAGGCTTCGTTGTGTCCCAAAACTTCCTGCTTGAGGGAAATTTCTTCAGCAGAAGCACAGCAGAGGGTTGGGCTCACAGACACAGTGTTGGGCTCACGGGCACTCATGAAGGGCCTTGGAGAAGGAGACTTCTCCACTCCCTCGCCCACCACTGCAGCCATTGGTTTCCCTCATGGGAGCTGAGTGTGAGTGCCCTTGGTGATGTCCTTTCTACAGCACTTGGGTGTGACTGCATACCTACAAGAGGTGTACCCTTCAGGATCAGGTTTGCAAAGAGGTGGAATCCCACTCCCTCTCTGCACGGAATGTCAGCATCCCTACAGATGGACAGAGTTGCATGTCTGATCTGAAAATCTAGAACACCAGGACAGGGCATAATGGGAAGATAGACTGCTTTCCTACCCCCCTATGAATAGAGCAGAGATGGCTCCCTGCCTCCCCCTGGCAGAGACCTTAGTGTATTTTGTTTTCTTTTTCTTTCTTTTTTTTTTTTTTTTGAGTTGGAGTCTCACTCTATTACCTAGGCTGGAGGGCAGTGGCACGCTCACGGCCACCGCAGCCTTGACCTGCTGGGCTCCGGTGATCCTTTCGCCTCAGCCTTCCAAGTAGCTGGAACTACGGGCATGAGCCACCACACCGGGATAATTTTTTGATTTATTGTAGAGATTAGGTCTCGCCAAATTGCCCAGGCTGATCTCAAACTCGTGAGCTCAGGCAATCCTCTCACCTGTCTTCCAAAGCGCTGGGATTATAGGCATGAGCCACCGCACCCAGCACCCTAGTGTATTTCACCGGGAACTCCCACAGCCACCTCTGACAGGGCTGAGACTCTAGAGGAATTACATATAACTACCTGCTTCAGCTGCAACCAAATCTCGCTCATGGATGTCCCCTAGTGGTCCGAAGGCTGACCAGTTTAACACAGAGAAAAAAATATTAAAAAAAAAAAAAAATCACATCACTAACCATGGAAACAAATCGTCGAAATGCACCAGTAGAAAAACACTAAAAATGATAAAACCCACAGGGCTTATAAAACAATAACACAATGGAAAAAACAAAGCAACAGGTAACAATCAACATGATGAGTAGAACAGTACCTCACTTATCATAATTAAGCATGAATGTAAATGGTCTAAATGCCTCACTTAAAAGATATAGATTGGTGGAATGGGTTAAAAAAACACAACAATTCAAATACCTTCTGCCATCAAGACACCCATTTAACTGACAAAGACTCCTATAGAGTCAAGATAAAACAGTGGAAAAAATTATTCACACAAACGGAAGCCAAAACTGAGCAGGAAAAAGTATTCTTTTTTGTTTGTTTGTTTCTTTCTTTCTTTTTGTTTTTTGGGGGGAGAGTCAGCATCTCACTCTGTCACCCAGGCACAGCCACTACAGCCTCGACCTGCTAGGCTCAGGTGATCCTTCCACTTCAGCCTTCCAAGTAGCTAGAACCACGTGCACGTGTCACCATACCTGGCTAATTTTTTTAGTTATTGTAGAGAAGAGGTCTTGCTTAGTTGCCCAGGCTGGTCTTGAACCCCTGGGCTCAGGCAATCCTCTCACCTCAGCCTCCCAAAGTGCTGGGATTATAGGCGTGAGCCGCCTTGCCTGACAGGAATACCTATGCTATTCTTTTTTTTTTTTGAGTTGGAGTCTCACTCTGCCACCCAGACTGGGAGTGCAGTGGCCGCTCCTGGCCACCACAGCCTCGACCTGCTGGGCTCCGGCGATCCTTCCGCCTCAGCCTTTCGAGTAACCAGAATTACAGGCATGTGCTTTCACGCCCGGCTGATTTTTTGATTTATTGTAGAG